CATCATTATGCTTTGCAACAATAAGGTGTCTTGGCTTTCCATGCCTTTTTACACCTCCCTTTCTTCATGTGTTCAATACTTTTTCCCTGTGCCATTCCACATTATTACAAATAACTTCATTTCTGGACGTTTACGGTTTGATTTCTTTGTATGTATGGATCACTTGGGTTGTTACCGACATCTGGTGAAAATTTCATGTCATTAGCACCTCTAGTAAAATATTTACTGAGAAAAATGGTGACGTGTTCAATACTTATTTTACCCGCTGTACGTTTAGCTGTTTTTTTTTTTGCTAATTTTAGCTGCCATTTTGCTATTATTATCAAGTGCTTTGCTAATTGAATCTACTGTTTTCTCATTTCACCTTTACCATCTGTTTTGTTAATTGTCCCCTGTCACCGAGGCGGGGGACACAGAAATTCTCGCCGTTTGTCCATCCGTCCATGTGGGACATCAGTGACGGTTGGCTTTGAGTTCCATCTTTTTTGAGCTTCTGTTCCACTGCTTTTAGTTTTTGTTTTATTTTAGTGTTTCTTATTTATTTAATTATTTATTCGTCCATTCATTACAAAAAGAAAAGCATCTATATTCAATTTAAAACACACAAATCGTAAATGAAATGAAAAACCCACTAACCAAGTCGTTCACTTACAAAATAAACTATTTTGGTCCAAGCACAGAAACCTGAGGAACGCCACATTTCAGAATCCAGATCTTAAATTCTTTACCTGAACAAACTGTCTTATATTGTTCAAGTAACTAAATACCCACAGTTGTGCTAATCCTCTAATGTCATATTTATTCAGCTTCATTTTAAGTTTCAGCTTCTTTGACAAATTTCAGCAAAGTCGTTCAGCTTTCAACATGCACACTGCATTTTCACAAACAAAGCAATTTCTCTGTCCTCTATGTTGCAGATAGATGCACAGCGGAGGCAAAGACACAGAGGAAATCACTTACAGTAGACCTGTAGGACAGTAGCTGAGAGACTAAGCTTCTACAACGTCTCTCTCTCTCTTCCTCTGGTGGCTGTGGATTAGCTCAGAGACACCAGGGGACCTGCAGCAATAAAGGGTCTATTTTAAGAGCACTTTCTCCTGCTTACTTCACTCTAAATTGGTGCCTTCTTAATACCTGAAGTGGATTCTTCATTATTTTTTTATTAAAGAACCTGTGGCACACACCATTAGGATAAGTCCCTTTGCCAGGATAGTGATGTTGAGACACCGGTGATGAAGGTCCTGCATAATGAAACCAACTGTAGACTAAAACTTACTGAATTTACACCTCAAACTCTAAAACCTAGATAAGAGATTAAGCCACTTGTGTGAAAATCGAGGCCCGCAGGCCATATGTGGCCCACAGCTGTGTGCACAACAGCTTCAAAGCAGTATTATTGTCTTAAAATTAGCATGCTGCTAGCCAGCATTGAACAAAAACTTCATCTCATATAATGCATGTACGTATTGTAGAAGCTCCAGAGTTAGGCAGAATGGGCAAGATTCTGGATTTACCATTGATGTACACGTTAGCAATATTGAGGGAAAATATTACAGATAATTTGTGGCACAGATCCAGTTGGGCTTGCTGTTAATCTAATCAGCTGAAGCCGACGTCTTGGGTCAACATTTTTGCTCCTCCATGTTGTCACCAGTGGACGGGATAGACGGGACTCCCTCTAGTGATATTCAACTCAATGGCTTAATGGTGTTTAGGAGTGAACTTTTAATCTCGTTAGCCTGGAAATGTTTCCTTATTTCAAGAAGTCTTAAGGGGAATTGTCTTACTGCACTGGCAGATGATTTCACTTAATTTGAGAAGATTCAGACAATAATCTAGTATATTTTAATATATTTTTAGATGGCTAGTTTTTTGCTGTTTAACCAACCCTTGAGCTGGTTTCACAAAAACCTTTCTGGGACATGAGCCTGCTCTATGCCAAACTAAAAGCCAGAATTAGCTAATTAGCACCCGCTACACAAGGCAAACAGCAATAATGTTTTTGACTGTGCTTGTATGTCTGATAGCAAAATGTCTCATGTAGTGGGTTTTATTAAAACTCTCAGTCTACATCTAAAATTCAACCCAATATCAGATGACCAACAGGTCACTGAACTCATCCGACACAAAATTAGCTTTAACTCAGTCCTAAAACTTGCAGTAGCTGAGATTTTTCCTGAACACTTACTTTGAGCACTGACGATCTCAGTTTTTTACAGTTTTACATGAGATCATGCCTGATGTCATTTGAAAAGTTTGACAAGAACAGCAGTAACTCGCTCTTTTCAACATAACATGATCACAGTTTAAAACATCAAGCTGGGTGATGAACATATTTGCAAGGAATGCCAGCTTTGTAATAATGAAATGTGTTTTTATGGCTCAGTCCAGACTCCCCTTCTTTAAAACATGTCCTTAAATAGGTATTTAAAACACCTAATTAAAGTTTTATTCCAGTTTTGTTTTACAGTGTACCAAGTATTTAGTGCTAAATTATAAAATAACTACAAATTTACAGATAATTTGCACTTTGAAAACACTAAATATTAATAATCAACAAAACTGGTGATAATGTGTTCTCAGGTTTTAGGTAGATCTTTTTAAAATTTAGTTAAAGCTAAAGCAAAATTATGTTAGAGTGCACAAAAAATTACTTAAACATTATTTGAAAAAGGTTTAAATTATTTAACAGGGCATGTATTTTAGAACATAATAACCAAGATATAAATATTATGAAAGACGTCTTTGAGCTCCTATTAAAGATGTATATAGTCTATCATGCTACTTTCTCAAAAACACAATAAAGTATGTGTTTTAAAAAGGGATTGAGACTTAATAAGAATTAATTCAGCCTTCCATACACCACTCATGGTACCAGTGCAACCAGTGTCAGATGAAAACCTCCCTCAGTGAAATGTTCTGACAAAATTTAGTCAAACCCAGTTTGCCTCTCTCATCATGGATTAGTCAGATTTTACCTTTGTGTAACAGCAGCTGAAGAATATTCAAACAATAATTATAATGCAGAGTCTGTGAGCTTCAACAGTGGATTGTNGTCTCTTGGAGGAGAGACGAAACGTTTCATTAGAGAAGAACCCGTCCAGAAGACCTATACAATTTTTTTCTTTTTGATTTTTTTACCTGGATTACTGAGATGCATCAGGACATTATTGCAGACGTTTACAAATTTATATTCCGGTAGCTATTATTATTATTAGACTTAATTATCTCAGACAAGAAAATATCCATATCATTAATAAACTAATAATATAAAACAACACAAATAATAAAATAAAACAACACATCATAAACTTGACTAGGCATTTGTGGATCTTGATAAGAAAACAATGTTTACCTGTGTCGGACTCATAGGTTTCTATGACCATGTCCCCCATGGCTCTGCTGCCGATGTGCTGATTCAGGACAGCGGCTCTGTCTGACTCGCTCTTTCCGCTCAGAGTGCGTTTAGCTACAGCTAGCTCCTTCTCGTGTAGCTCATCCTCCGACATGCCTTCAACTGCAGGGAACAGACAGTCAGCTCTAACGAAACCGACATCCCTGTTACACTTAGTAAACTTGGCTTCAGGCGAACAGCAGCAGGACAAACACTTCAGTACCGTTTCTATAAACATGATGACATAAACGCGTCACTGTTGATTATCCACTAGCTGCCTGGTTAACTTTTTATAACGTTAAAAAAATAACTTACCAGCAGAGTACTGAAAACCTTGTGGAAAAGGAGACTGGTCTGCAATTTCCAGACGAATAACAACCAGCGACACACTCATGTGTTCAAAAAGGAAGTTTCCAAAAACAAAACAAACCGCTAAAGCTAAGCTAACTCAGGCTAGCTTGTAAAGCCTACATAAAAGCGACTGCATCAGTTTCATAACTTCTTAGATTGTATGTTTTTCCATCTCGTTGCTAATACAGACATATTAATATATTTTTTATTCAATGTTCAATGTTGAAGTATATAGTTTGCTGTCAATATACACTGCAACTACCTAAACTTTAGCTAACTCAGGCTAGAGCTGCTCGATTCTTCTTCTTCGCTTCTTCTTCTTCTTCTTCTTCTTTGATTTTTTAACGGCAGCTTGCATCCATCACAGTTGTACTACTGCCATCTTATGGTTGGTCTAACCACCATATATTTCCTCCCTCTTAAACTTTTTAAATGAGATTATTGATGTTATTATTGATGTGCCCTACACTTACAGCTCCTACCCTGAGCTTCGAGCAGAGTTTGACAGTATATCTTGGCTGGCAACTTCATGTTAATGGACATTATTTAAGCTTGTACATATACAAGCTATTTTGACACCTTCAATAAAAAACACCATTTTATTCCAGCCTTTACTGTTATCATGAACCAAGTTCACAATACGCCGTGATGATTTCACAGATGTATTTCCTTTTTTTTTAAGTTGCATGTCCTCAAGATGTATTTAGCATCTGTTTGAGGTTTAGGCAACTGCTTTAGCAAATTTTATCTTTAAAGGTCAAGAAATGACTGATTTATAATTCATTTTGTATGTATTTTGGCAAAATTTGTGATTTGGTATTACTGGTGATATTAGCTTCACTAGCCAAGATTCAAAATCAGTAAATCTACCTTGCAGATTTGTCATCCTCAATAAAGAAATTGGTATCTGTTCCATTATATGTCAAAGTTGTTTCTCTTGTATACTACATTTTTTTCTTGTATACTACAGTTTCTCTTGTATACTATGTTACAAGAGTCAAAGTTTAGGCTGCATGTAAATATAC